TCACTATTGAGGGTACACATTTCCCAGTAAAGGAAGTGCTGTCATCCTGTTGATGCCACCGAAGGCTGTTAAGACTATTAATTTTGTTGTTCATTTAGGCATGTGTGGTTGCCACAGCAACAACAATCTCATAGTTCCTTCAAGCCCTCTGTGCAGTGAGCATCTGTTGAGAGTCCTACAAAGGTGTCATAGTTCCTCTCCTTCCTGTCACAGATTGAACCCCTTGCTTGCTCTCCTTATGAGCTACATATTTATCAAGAATCCCGAGAGAGAGAGAGAGAGAGAGAGAGAGAGAGAGAGAGACAGAGAGATAGAAAGAGAGAGAGAGGGAGAGAGAGAAGAGATTCTTTGCTGGAGCCAGTCAAAGGAGAAATCTAAATGAAAATGAAGGCTTTTGTTTCCCGTGGACTGCTGCAGAAGACCTCAGAATGAGTAGTTTAGAAGTCAGACGATTATTGAAGATCTTGGTCAGCTGAAATGTGAATAAGTCCTTGGCAAAATCCACAGCCAATCTTTTATGCAGGGTGGCCAGGACACTGAGTATCCTGTGTAAAGCCAAAATTGTAAATTCTAGCCCAAACTCCCAGTGGTATGCAGTAATAGGGTGCAATCTCTTGCCAACTATTTCTCATAATCCAAGACCTTCTCCTTAAGAACCACATAGATTTCAGAATATATGTTTCTTAAATGGACTCATTCCCTCTCTCTCTTGTGTGTGTGTGTCGCTCACTTTCTTAACGAGCAGTTGGTAGAGAAAGCTTATGTTTTCAAAAGCATTTGTTGGTACTGATAGACAATCATCTTTGAAGACACTACTCAGTATGAGTCTTTGTCTTTGTGTCCTAATTTATCTCATTTGCAAGTTATATAGTCAGAACTAGAGGGGAGTTACAATTTCTAGATAAATTGCATACTAACTAAGTGAAAGGAGCTGAGACTGGGCAGTCTGTCTTTATAGCTATTGAGAGGAGGTATCTTAAGTCCTTGTAGAATCCTTATTTGAAATTTACATGTAAATGTTAGGGCACCTGACTGAGCAAGTTTATCAAAACATCATTACAGTTTCCTCCTCCTTCTGTCATTATTCTGATCAAGATGATCAAGAACAGATTTCTGTATTCATTTCTGCAGAGAAGCTTACTCATTCCTCTTCAAAATTCTTTTATCTAATGATACCTATTGTTCAATCATAAGAAATATTTAACTGTAAAATCTTTTACTTGGAGTAAATTATCTTTGAGGTGGATTCTACTAAAGATTCTCTGTTGATTAAGTAATTGTCATTTTTCCTGTTGTGAGTTTGGAGAAGAAATTTCTAGGTTATATACTGTTTTTAGGCAAGAAGCCTGAGCCTGGGTTACTCTGGCTTTCACAAGACATTAGTATGTCCTGAGGGCTTTTTTTTTGCAACTCTCTGTGAGGATTCCTGGGACCAATTTTTGTAAGACTCTCCCATCCCAACCACCCTTTTTGGTATCTTTTACTTTTTCTTTCTGAGTTCTTCTTTTCATTTTATTTATTTACTTCTCTAGGATCATAAGATCATAGTACTTTTAAACTGGAAAACAACTCCCATCTTCTCTTGTACATTTCTATCCTCACAACTTGCAATGCTCAACTGTGCTCATGTTGTCTACTTTTAAAAACTTGTATATATGGATATGCTAATAGCCAAGCACAAACCAAACATTTTATTATATGCAATTTATTATACCAATGTGGTTTTAATGAAATAGCCTTAATACAAATGAGACTTTTTTTTCTAGTTCTAACTCTGATTTTAATTCACAGACTGACCCTGGACAAATCTCTCTAGTTTTGCTTGGACTCAGTTTCTTTATCTGAAGATGAGAATGGCCTTCTCTCATAACTTATTATCGAGTAAATGAGCTAATATATGTAAAGGCTCCTTGGAATATGTGTTGTACTATGTGTAAGCTATAGGGATACTCATCCATAATGTCTGTCTCTGGAGTCCACATCAGCTTGGTGTCTTTAACTGTGACCTTAGCCAAGGTGGCAAAACCCTATCAGAAATCTACTACAAAAATGTGCATTTTTCCTTGACCAAACAATTTCACTACTAAAAATCTATACTACAGAAATATTCATATGTCTGCATACAGTACCAGATATTAACTGAAGCATTGCAATTGAAAAACTGGAAATTTAATTAAATAGAAACTTAATTTTCTATCAGTAGGAAGAAAGTTAAATAAATATCCATATAGTAGAATATACTGAGATTATAAACAAATAAGGTTGATGTATTCTAAAACTGCATGGAAATATCTTCAAGACATATGTTATATGAGAAAGCAATTCATTAAACAGTACCTAGTGTATGATCCCATTTATCCTAAAAAAAAAGCAAACCCCACACAGAAAGGAAACAAAGCCACACCTATATATGTGAATACATTTGTATGTAAATTTGCAGTGTCCCTATGTCATTGAGCTTCCCTCTCTTATTGTATTATGTAGTGTGGAGAGTTGAGGTTAAGAATGAGTTCTGTGGGAGGCCAAGACGGGCGGATCACGAGGTCAGGAGATTGAGACCATCCTGGCTAACCCGGTAAAACCCCGTCTCTACTAAAAAATACAAAAAACTAGCCGGGTGAGGTGGCGGGCGCCTGTAGTCCCAGCTACTCGGGAGGCTGAGGCAGGAGAATGGCGTGAACCCGGGAGGCGGAGCTTGCAGTGAGCTGAGATCCGGCCACTGGACTCCAGCCTGGGCGACAGAGCGAGACTCCGTCTCAAAACAAAAACAAAAACAAAAACAAAAAAAAAGAATGAGTTCTGGAGTCACACTGTCTTCAAATCCTCGCATGACACATACTACGTGTGTAATTGTGGATAAATCCCAACTCTTCCATGCTTCATTTTCCCACCTTAGAATGAGTTTGACAATTTCACCTTACTTGAAAAATTTAAATGCATAGAAAAAATTCCAGAATACTTTTGATTATCCTGAGACACAACAGGGTAGCTGGAAATGTGAAGTTCCTTTTGAAGTACCCAACTCTACACAATGCAGATAATACTGAATAAAGCTTATCTGCTTCTGTAGGACAGCATGGGAAACGTCCTAGAGGCTCAGAAAAAATATAAATTTTGGTAAATGCAACCATGAATGGAAGGATAGGGAGAAACAGTCATCATCTGGGTGTGTGAGCATCAATAATGTGACAAAGGCTTTTCTGGCAGAGCTATGGGAAAACCCACTTTCTGAAGAGGCAGAATCATGAAGGGGGCTTGTGTCCCCATCCCAGAGGGATCCAGTGGTCTCATATGTGGCTTTCCTCTCAGCGTTGTCTATCCAGTCCAGCTTATTTTGTCCTGTATTCTACTATCTCTACTGTGGAAACTCTCCCTGAGAAGGAGGCAAACCTTCCCTCCAGGGAGGTCAAGGAGGATTGCACTGCTTTGCTTCATGCAAACAGCTTCCCAGGGAGGGAGCTTTTGCTCTCCCTGCTGTGTGGATAGATTGAGGAGCCCCCAAGGCTTGGCAGCAGGTCAGGCCCAGCCAAGCTTCCAGAACCAGAGAAAGGCATAGCTTTTTATCTGAACTTAATTTCTTTTCCAGAGGAGCACTGCCTCTTGTTCTTACTTGAATTTAATCTCCATGGATCACAATTTTGTTTGGTGGATCTATCTAGCAAAATTCACAATTCAAGGGGTCCTGGTCCTTGGCTGACTCAGAGAGATCAATCCCTTCTCTACAGGTGAGGAACTAGGGCTCCAGAGAGTCTAGTGACCAGCCAAGGTCAAGAGGCCACTTGGTGAAAGAGCTGGCCTAGAAACAGTCACTAGTCTTCATCCAAGGTTCTTTCTGTCATACTAACACATATTTATTAGCAACAGAAAAATCTGCTCAAAAATAACTCACTCTCCTAGAAGAAAGATCTTAGATATTACAGGTAAAAGAAAGTATACAGATCATGTCATATAGGCCTCTGAAAGAAGTTTTAAGTCCTCCCTCCCCTTATTTTACTTAAAATAATGTCTGTCTTGGCATAGTTGTGAATCCAAGTTGTATTCTGCTGAGTGAGCCTGTGTGTGTGCCTCAGGGTGATGTCAGCGTGGCTCCCTAAAGATTTCAATGGGATGATTCCTCTTGGGTTTTATTCTGTAGTAAAAATAATCTGTGGTGGTTTTGGTTTTCCTTGTTTTATAAGCTAGAGGAGTCAGCCAGGAGGACACTGCCTCCTGATTTTCTATATGGTCATTATCCATACTCCATTCAGACCACATTAAAAGCCACTGGATCTCAAATGATCCCACAGGGACTATTCATGTGGTCATCAGTGGGGAGATGTGCAGGCAAGCAACACTAACCAAAATATTTCTTCAGAAAGCTTGCATGCTTCCAATGTGAATTCACGTCTGAAAGACTGCCATATTTTCTGTTTTAAGGTTCCATGTCCTTTATGTCACTGAACTACTCCTTCTTATTCTACTGTGTAGAGAGTAGAGATGAAGACAATGGGTTCTGGAATTGGACTGACTTTAAATCCTAGCTCTGCATTTACTAATGGTGTGATTATGGGTAATTGACTTAATCTTTCTGTTTGCTTCCTATCTGTAAAATGATTTGAAAATTTTATCTAACACAAATGACGATGGAAGAACTAACTAGATATAGTACAGACACACGAGAGAGAGCACTTGGCATGTAGTATCCACTCAATGAATGTTACCTCTTACCCTTAACATCTGCTCATGTAGCCCAGCATTATGGAAAGAACTTTAGATTGATGGGTCAGGAGACACAGGATCTGTTCTAGGATCTCACTTCCATGTAGCTTCATGAACTTGGGACAGTCACTTGATCCCAACTCATAGAATACAAGCCATAGAAGCAAGTATTTGTTCCAACCTCCTCATTTAACAAATGAAATTGGGTCTCAGAGAAAGGAAGAGACTCACCTGAAGTCCCCAGGGAGTCAATATCCAGGCCAGGATCAGCCAGCACCACTCTCCTGATTTTTGTCCCATAGCTTTTCCCATCATTCCTCTGGAGACAGAAGACTTTGCCAAGTGGTCCAAGCTTTGCTGAAGACCTAAGGACTTTGGGATTGATAGGTGAGTGGTTCCTAACATGCTGTCTTGGGGTTGTGGCCATCTGAGAAGCAACTGCCAGTGCTTTCTACTATGTCATGATTGGCATAACTACTAGAAGCAGAGCAGTACCTTTGAGATGCTACTGGGTGAGAGCCACTGCATCTACGGAGCACCCAGTAAACTCATTCCAGGCCAACAGGGCAAGGTTGGGTAAGCTCTAGAGCCCAACAGCTTAATAGTAGGCTATGTTTCTTCTTTCTCTTTCTTGGCTCTTGCCAGAGACACTTAGAGTAACATTATCTCTATCTTAAGCTATAGAAGTCTCCTTTTGAACTCTCATTATAGGCCATTGTCACTCCTTTCCTCTTCTCCTCTCACTTTTACACAGATTCTGAGATCACGGGCTGACCATATTATCCACTCTTGGGTACATGGCTTTGACCTGCAAGGTCCCCTTTCTGTTCCACACTCTGGCCACAGCAGACACTCAACAAAACCAGTCCTGTACTCATTATTCTAAATATATACCGGGCTTTTGGCTTGGGGACAGTGCATATATTACACCTCTCCATTGATTCTTGCTCAGTCCTCACAGATTGACTATTATCATTTCTGTAGAGCCCATAATTGTCCCCCAACTTAGAAGTGGTCTCCCGGTCCTTAGAACTTAGAACAAGTACTTGCTATAGGTCTATAGAGGTTCTACCTCCCTTAACAAACTTCTTAACTTCTTAACAACCATGTACTCGACCTCTTTTTTTTTTTTTTTTTTACAGGGTCTTGCTCTGTCACCCAGGTTGGAGTACAGTGGCATGCTCACAGCTCACTGCAACCTTGACCTCATGGGCTCAAGTGATCCTCAACCTCCCTCGTAGCTCCTACAGGCATGTACCACCATGCCTGGCTAATTTTTGTACTTTTTATAGAGATAGGGTTCTGCCATGTTGCCCAGGCTGATGTCGAACTCCTGGGCTCAAGTGATCCACCTGCCTAGGCCTCCCAAAGTGCTGGGATTATAGGTGTGAGCCACCACACCACTGGACCTCTTTTTATCCCCCAAAGCATTTAACAGAGTTCCTTGCCCAGTGCAGAAACTCCGTTGGACCTGCTTGAATAACTGTTGGCTGGTTGGTGGAGTTGGAGTCAGGGGCTCAAGACTTAATAAAAAAGGTTATGTCTTCATAATCCAGAAATGCTTAATCCCCAAGTGTCATTGTTAGTCCTCGGTAAATCAGTCAGCCACATATCTTTCTCTAGTTACAGCCATTCTAAGGCTTCTTTAAGCCTAGTTGTTAATGCCTAGTTGTTTTGAGAATGCAACTTTTTAGAAATCTGGTGTGACACAGTTTTGAACTTAAAGTCAATTACAATTAATTTTACTCTTTTTTTTTTTTTTTTTGGTGGCAGAAACTGACAGTCCAAGATGGACAAGCAAAACAATTTACAAACTTTAAAAAATTCAAATAAAAGTTTAAGGATGTTAAAGAAAGGTAGGAAGAGTAAAGGAGCCTGGAGTTTTCACTCATTCACTCACTCACTCACTCACCCAATCAGCAAACGTATCCGTGAAGCTTGATTTCCTGCATTTCAGAAGGAAACAGTCGTTATTTAGTTTATGCAAAATTCTGTATAGCCCTCTGCTAGAGCCTTATGCTTCTAAAATTCTGTTTGTTAAAATAGTGTTCAGAAGTAGATTGTGTTCACAAACCAAACTCTATGTTTCCGTAAGATCAAATTCCCTGCGACAAATTTTATCCCCAAATTCAGGGAAAAAATGAGAAGAATGCAAAGATTAATCCTTGGAGACCCTTAAATAAGCCTTTCTTTCCCTATTCTGTTTGCTTTTTAAGTTTTGTATTCAGAGAATAATAGGTGAACCCTTCCGTGGCTAATTAAGACACATGTAAATTGAAACCAATGTTCAGGCCAGTAATTAAAGTGAGGTACTCTCTGGGTAATATTTACTTTCTAGCTCCCAGATTGTGAGTTCAGTTCCTCTTCAAGCTGCACTTTTTTTTTCTTTCTTCCTTTTTTTTTTTTTTTTTTTTTAAATCACCGAGATTAAAGCAGCTTGAATTTACAATAGCATCTTGTGAAAGGAGAGGGGGGAAAAGCTGCAGTGGTTTTAGTAAATAATGCACTTTGATGTCTCCAACTTGAAATCCATATTTTGAGAGCCCTGATGCATCTAAATAGTATTTGGAATAAAATTTTAAGTCCCAAAGCAGTGCCATTTGCAGAAAAAAATGCCTGTGGAAAGTGAATGTTAATATTCCTCTCACATCTCCCCACTCTGTCGAACAATCAAGTGCTTCCATTCTTCTCTGTGAAACTTGTATAGTGTACGTGCCACATGACCATGACGTGTCCACTCTTCTTTTGGCTGCTGACCACCAAGTTGTTTATAGCTGGTAAGCCTGGCTTGAGGTTTGGGCCATTCCTTTATTTTGGGTAAGAAAAAGATAGGAGAAAAAGACTTCTTAGGAACACCTTGTTTTCTATAAAACAGTGGAGCCATTTCAAGAGCCCTTCTTTTGACCATTGGAAAGGACAGTGAGGTCTAGGTGTAGTTAAGGATTTATATCTATAGGCTGGACTCTGTTGGTCCCTCCAGTTTGCTTTCAGGTTCATCTGCTGTGGTACTGCTTTGGAAATTTCACAGACCTTTGACCATATTCACGAGCTCCTGGGCAGCAAGAAGCTTTGAAATCCAATAAACGTCCAAATCCAAGAATAGATTTCAAAAATTACTTTTCTGCTAAAATCTCAAGACAAAATTCCTTTTGTTCTTGCTGTGGAGGCCCTTAGGTCGTACAGGGCATTTGTATCCAACAGGATCTCAGGAGCTCTTATTTCTTCTGCTATCACATTGTGTTTGTGATGTCATGAGTGGTTACCATGGAGGTAATTATCATGATGTGGGAGATGTGTGAATTCAGGTGTGGAGAAACTTAGCAGCGAGAGATGGGTTTTTGAGAAAAAGAGACAAATCCCCTTTCATTCCGACTTCCTTAGTAACAAAAGGGTGAAGCAGAAAAAAAAGGGAATGTAAATGCAATGACTGAAATTTAGCTTTTGAACAGCATGTCTTTTATGCTTTGCGTGACGTATTGGAAAGTCTTTTATTTATTTGTTTTTTAAAAAATTACATTTTGATCACATATCTTGGAGGATGGTGTTAAAAATAAATGTTATGTTCTTTCCTGGAGAAAAAAAAATGGCTTGTGATAGCAGAAGAGAATTCTGTATTATGAAGTCCAAGGAGAATAGGAAAACCTTTTGAGTGATACACCAGGAAGCTTAAAGGTGACATGTTTTCACCCAGCTGGAAAAAAAAAAGCTGCTGCAATCTGCAAAACACTACAAAAATAAGATGCAACCAAGCTAACAATGCAGCCAGACTGACTTGCTGCTGGCATTTGACAAGCTAGGGAAATGAGACTGCAAAAATCCACAGGGAATTCTTTTCCCCTTCATGTAAAAGAAGTACCGTACATATCTTTCCTGGGACCAGGGGCAGTGAGGGTGAGGACCCGGGTGCTGCTGAGCAAGTACTTTAAGGAAATGATCCAGAATCCCCTGCCTCTGGCTTGGAATAATCAATGTCACTACTGCTTGTTTGGAAGCATTGTCTTTTCTTGGAAAGGACCCAGGGCTGGCAAACTCAAGTAGTCAGCGTGGTGACTGGTGAGAGAGGGACTCTGCCGAGGCAAGTGCAGGGAGGCTGAGTGCCCTTGAGCATCAGATTCTGATTGAAAGACCTGGGTTCAAGTCACAGCTTTGCCCCCGTGGATTTTTTCTTTGACCTTCACCACGGTCCTTAATTGCCCTGCTTTCTTATCCTATTAATCAAAGGAGACTATTGTAACAATAAATATATTGGACATAAAACATACATTTTTATGCAGACTACAAATGCAAGGGATTGGACCTTATTAGGGGTTCTGTGTCAGCACAAAGATATTTAGTTGTTTTCTTGTTACGTGGTATCTTTCATGACCTTCAGGGTGAAAGTGGGCACTTTCTTTGGTGACAATTGATCCTGGCAGCCAACGCTCCAGGGCACTACTTTGGTGAAAGGAGGATAATGACCCTAGGCGGGGTCAATTCCTGCAAGGTCAGGTGCCAACTCCTTAGCTTGGTGTTTGAGGCCTTCCCTGATTACTCCCCAACTAAGCTTCTCAATCTGATTTCCTTACTCCATCAAGTGTACCCTTTGCCTTGGTCAAATCTGATTTGTCACTGGATATACCTCTGGCATTCCTTGTAGTAGTTTCTTCTGTTCTTACCCAATCAATTCTAGCTAGTCTCTGTTCATCCATCCTATATGGATCCCTCCTTGTTATCAGCACTTGCTACTCCTATCATATATGTGTTGTGCAGGTTGTGCACTGCACAAAGATGTCAGGTCAGTGTAGGGGGACATGGGCTTAAATCCAGAATCCAGCCCAGTCATATATCCTGTTGACTGAGGTGCTGTGTCTGCCTAGTGGAAAGGTACCTTTTTCTAATTAGAAAAAGGCACTGGAGAGGGTAGGGGTGGCTCTGTGTGTATTGACAGAGTGAACTTTTCATCTATGTTTGTTCTATATTTTCTTGAAATTATATGCTCCTTGAGGACTGAGGCTTTGATTTTTTGTAGATATTGCGCATGAAATACACATAACTTTGTTTTGACTTATAATGAGCACAGCGAGTTCTGAGTAAGAGATGGTACTGGAAGCTCCTTGAGGACCGAGCTTACCCATTTCTCTACCTGCCAATCCATCCCCCTTAAATTCCCTGAGTGCTTGCTTATCTGTAGTAACAGTGGGGAAACATCAATACCATTCTTTTTAAAAAATTCTTCAATGCCTATCTTGGTTTCTATGTGGAAGTGAGATAGTTTCCCCTCTGAGGACTCTGAGACTGGGTTTTAGATGAGGCTCTTGGGTCTGGGCCAGCATTTTCACCTCTTTCTAGAGCAACATTGTACTGGGGCTTTGTGGTGGGTCAGAAAAGTAGGCCTGTAAAACTTACTGCTCACAAAAGGGTCAGGCCGTGCTCTGTGTGCTGAGGACATCAGGAGGAGAGCCATGTGTCTGTGTCCTCACGGAGTTCCTGGATCATAAGTGGGGAAAACAGACATGTAAGCGAGTGGCCATAAAACAATATATAAGAGGCACTATAGCAGCAAGAGCTCATACAGAGGCCTATGGGGTCACTGTGAGGCAGCAGAGACCTGTCTCCCTGCATGGGGGCAGGTACAGGTGGAGTGACTGGAAAGAGGAGGTGGCTTTAAGTGTGATATAAAGAAATCTGGTTCATGTCCATATCTTCCATTGCAGTCTGTGTGCAGATGACTCTCAAAATGTGTGTCTCCATCCCAGACCCATCCGCCACTGTTATTTCCACTTGGGAGCTTCAAAGGCTCCCTTAGACCCATTCTGTCCCAAACAGACCTCAGGATCTTTTCACCCAAATCCAATCATCTGCTGGTGCTCCATCTTTCCAGATGGCACCACCCATCCATCTACTTTGGTAAACTGACTTGGTCAGTTCATTTGCTCCGTTCTCAGCTCCCAGTCCAAGTTGGCATCCGTGTGTCTTGCCTGGACTGGAGGCAATACCTACCTCCTCAATGGACCTCCCACATCCACCCTGAGCCCTCCAGCCCCTTCTCACTGCAGCTGGAATGACCATTCTGAAATGCAAATCTGCTCACGTCACATGGTCCCCAAACTACCTCCCTCCCAATGCTTAAAACCTCTTAATGCCTTCTAATTTCTCTTAGGATAAAGACTCAAATCCTCAGCAGGGCATCTAAGGCCTCTCATCATCTGGCCCCTGGAGACCTTCCCAGTGCCCCCAGCCCTGTCCCAAGTGGCAGCAGTCTGCTCACAGGCCCCCAGCCCAGGCAGCCCCTCAGCCTGGAAAGCTTTCTCCTATTGCTGCCACTCTCCCCTCCCACCCCCGTTACCTAATTCATCCTTTCTCATTTTTCAGGTGTAAGCTCAAATATCACTTCTTCAGGGAAACCTCCCTGGATCCCCCTGACTGCTTCAGCCCTTCTGCCTAGTACATCTCAGAGCACATTTCCTTATCAATTATCACGGTTTGTAGTCACACATTTATTTTTGTGGTTATCTGACTGATGTCTGTTTTCCCTGGAAGGTTGGGAGCTCCAGGATCCTGGCTGGGTTTGCCTTTGCTACATTTCCAGTGCCCAGTGCAGGGCTCCATGCACCTTAGACTCTCAAGTAAACATGCATTGAATGAATAGATACATGAGGGTTGTTTAGGAACAGAGAGCCACTCCTTGGGGCTGCCATGTTGGTTATGTGAGAGGAAGCAGGTAGAGGTGAGGTTGGGAACAAGCCTGTGGCTGAGATGGTGCCCTCTGGGTACAGGGGCACTGTGCAGCCTGCAACCCAAGGACATGACTGGCCAAGAGCTGTGTTTTAGAGCAGAAGCTCTGAGAGGTGTGTGGGGTGGAGGTGTGGAGGGTAACGCGTCTTGGGACCAGGGAGACACATTAGGAGGCATCTGATGCAGATGATGGGAATCAGGACAGTGAATGAGAATGGAGAAATGGGAACAAATGCATTTAAGTATTCTCTATTTCCATTTTCCCCCTCCTGGAAGGGCAGCAAGGGATCAAGGAACTTTACATTATTTTAACATTTTTAACCTGCCTGACTTGAACCTCACCAATGGTCAGAGGAAAAATCAGAGGGGATTTGGAGTCAGTGGAGTAGTGGGCAGTTGGAGAGTCACAAATCTGTGGTTTTTTTCCTTTCTCAGGCAAAAGTGGCCTGTGGAAGGTTGGGAGGTATCTGAGTCCATTTGGGCTGCTATAACTAAGTATCTTGGACCGAGTGACTTATGAATGGCAGACACCTATTTCTCACAGTTCTGGAGGCTGGGAAGTCTGAGAGCAGGGTGATAGCATGATCAGGTTCCAGTGAGGGCTTCTCTGGGTTGCAAGCAGTTGACTCTCATTGTATCCTCACCTGGCAGAAAGAGAGCAAGCTAGCTCTCTGACCCCTTCTTCGAAGGGCATTAATCTCATTCATGAAGGCTCCACCCTCATGACCTGAATACCTCCCAAAGAGGCCCTGCCTCCAAACACCATCACATTGGGGGTTAGGTTTCAGCATATAAATTTGGAGGGGACACAGACATTCAGTGCATAACAGTAGGAGAGGGTGCTTTCAGGACCTGCTGCCCTGACCTGATGGTGAGTTGGTGTGTGAGAGGCTGTGACATCCAAGGAAATTCCTCTTGGGTTGGACATTTCTGGTCCTCCTAACCTGATCTGAGATGTCCATCATGGTGGCTGGTCTTCCCTGAGATCCCCTGAGTGTCTCAGAATATTTCGAGAGGCTGATAGTACCAAGGGCAAAGTGGGCTTGGGACCAGGGAGATACATTGTGCATAAGGATGAATATTTGCCTCACCCTAGGTTTGGAGCCACACCTATTTTCCTATTCTTTTTAATGCTTCCTATAGTCTGAATGACAAAGATAACACTAGGGTAATATAATCGTTGAATTGGACAGAATGTAAAACTTGATGCTACTAAATTTCAGCTTTTCAAGGATATGTGTTTTATATATCTAGCACCCTCTTCTAGAATGTGACCGATATAATAATACTGCTGTGTTAATAGTGTTCATGGCTAATGTAGCTTATGTCGTTTGACATTTTAACTACAAGTCGAGCTGCTACATTTGGCTGTGCAAGTTGCGAATTGCCTAGGTCTGGTGAGCTCAGTTCATGTAGACTCCTGTGGGCATGGCACCCCCCAGAGTTGTGCAAGGTGGCAACCCTGCCCATGGAGTGTGCAAGGTGGGCATTAGCCTTATTTTGCTGGCTTAGAATAGCAAATGACTTATTCAGTGTCATATGACAATTAAATACTGGCACTGCTGCTAGGGCCCAGCTTTAGGATCCAAGTCTAGTTTTTTGTTTGTTTGTTTGTCTGTCTGTGTTTCTAGAGACAGGGTCTTTCTCTGTCACTCAGGCTAGAGTGCAGTGGCATGATCATAGCTCACTGCAGCATCAACCTCCTGGGCTCAAGCCATCTTCCAACCTCACAGCCACCTGGGTAGCTGTGACTATGGGTACCCACCCCAAACCCCGGTAATTTTCATTTATTTAATTCTTGTGTAGACGAGGTCTTATTATGTTGCCCAAGTTGGTTTTGAACTCATGGTCTCAAGTGATCCTCCCACCTTGGCCTCCCATAGTGCTGGGCTTTCAAGTGTGAACCACCACACTTGGCCCTAAAAGCAGTCTTAATTTTTCTGTACCTCTTTGCCTCCTAGCTGATGGGTGAGTGAGTACCTGAGTGAATAGGGTAAAGATGAAGCCTCATTTCAGGAGTGAGATATACACACATGATATGATTTATTTTGCAGGCCCCTGAGCTCCACTGGTAGAACCAGCTGCCCTAATCTGCAGCCCTTTACCCAGACCTTAGCCATTCTCAGATGACATGGCCTTGGGTGTCTCTGCACCTCCTTTCCTGAACCCCTTGCATCTTCCTGGTTACTCCTCCTTTTCCTGTCCTGTTCCCTCAGGTCCTCGCTTCCAGCTACTAACAGGTCTTCCTCTCCCACAAAGTGTGCATTAATAAAGTAGAAAATTATAATTTCAATAGGGAGGTATGAAAGATAAAACCGCCTTTACAACACAAAGGAATTAGTCTATAAGGGTGGAATTCCTGGCTGGGTTGGAGAGTCATGAATCTATGAATTTATGTGGGAGAGCAGGAAAGAACCATGCAAATCACATAATGCAGATGACGAAATAGAGGTCCCAGAGAGTTAGTGGGACTGCTGGGTGCTAGAATCCACAGTTTTTCCATTATATTAGGTTAGGGCAAAAGTAATTGTGGTTTTTGCTAGTACTTTTAATGGCAAAAACCACAATTACTTTTGCACCAACCTAATATCATATTTTCTTGATCCATTTTAAGTTGGGATCTTCCCTGACATTTTTTTCATCTTACCTGGCTGAGCATAGCCCTGCATTTTGACCATGTATGAAGGGGGAGAGGCAGTTTGGCCAGCAGTGTCCTGGACTGTGGCGTGACCCGGGATCCATACTTTTAAATGCCATTATGAAATGCAGTCCAGTGGAGAGCTCAGCCTCTTCCCATCAGACTAATGCAGCTGCGGTGGAGAGGCGGGGTAGTGGCTGGCTGCCTGGCAATCGCCTGGAGCCCAGCAGAGGGATTACGCCCGCCCAGGCAGCCTCATCACCGTAATAAAATGGGAGTTATGCTTATCGACTCATCAGGACTGCCCATTTAGACGATTACCCCATTTCCAATCCCATTTCTAGAGAAAAGAGGATTGCTGGACACTTCCTCCCACCCCCACCCCTGGCAGGGCTGTGTTTAGCGGTGGCTTCTGGAGGGGACGTGCTGGAGACAGGCACTCAGCAGACTGAGAGTTTTACCCTCTTTGTCTTCCAGAGCTGACAAGCCATAGCAGGACGGCCATCCCCTGAGAGATAGGAGATGAGGAGAAACAGCCCGACAGGGGCCTGGAGCAGCTGGCTGGCGTCAGTAATTTCCTGCAGGAGACTCTGCTGGCCGAGCACACGTCACCCTTCTGTTGATCCTCTGTATTCTCCCTTGTGCTACTAAAATACGCTAATGTAACTCCTGGGCTGTGCTGAGCTAAATGCAGTTATTTAACTTCGTCGCTATGGAACCCAGGTCTAAAGCAGCAACATCTATTTGGAACAAGGTGGGGAGGAGGTAAGCCCCAAACATCCCTGAGCAGCAGGAATACACATTACAAAGTTTCTCTTTCTACACAGAAGAGTCTTCTGGGCCCTTGCTTGAGACCCCTGACTTTTATTTAACACATAGGTCTAGTTTGCTTGGTGAACTGCTTTCTGACACCTGAACAGACTGGAAGCAGGGAACTGAAGGTGAGAAAAGACTGCCACAAACAGGAGCCAAGAGCTAAGAGCCAAACCAGGGAGGTGACATTCATGGTGACAACTGTGGATGGGAATCCTGCCCTAAGTGGGATATTGGATGAATGAATGGCTCCTAAGGCCCCTTCCAACATTTCAGTTCATGGCTCTGAGTATCCCTGGTTTGACTGTGATGGTGAAGGCAGAGAGGAGGGAGAGGGAGGCCTCCGCGGAGAGCTGGTGGCCAGCAGGAAGTGTGGCCCTGTGTTTTAGTACTCAGGAGTACTTGCCTGCTTTTACTGGAGTCCTCCGGGCTCAATATGTGCTCTTGACCCCCGACTTCATTTTTTTTTTTGGCCAACAAGGGTGAATTTATGCTCTTCTTCATGGAGGTGGATGTTTCTGGAAGCATTTTGTGATGTCCTTTGCAGGGACATAGATGGATTTGGAAGCCCTTATCCTCAGCAAACTAATGCAGGAACAGAAAACCAAACACTGCATGTTCTTACTTATACGTGGGAGCTGAACGATGAGAACACATGGACACATACAGGAAAATGACACACACTGGGGCGTGTCGGGGCCGAGGGGTGGTGGGGAGAGGGAGAGAAGCAGGAAGAATGGCTAAGGATGCTATGCTTAATAACTAGGTGATAGGATGATCTGTGCAGCAAACCACCGTGGCACACATTTACCTATGTAACAAACCTGGATATCCTGCAAGTGTATCCCGAACTTAAAAGTTGAAAAAAAAAAGAAAAGAAAAGTTTTGTGAAGTCTGGAGGTGTAATGGACAGACACAGGCCTAGGGTGACGCAGGCCCATGTTCAGATCCTTGCTTCCCCACTGAGCTAGTGGGGAGACTGGCTAAATCACCGAGCCTCAGTTTCCTCACCTGTACATCTGCTGTAGAAGTGGCACATCATGTGCCGTCCTGGCTGTGACCTTCGGTAGCTCATCACTGCCCTTCTTACTGTTCTCAGGGTAAACCCCTTTCAAGGCAGAGTTGCCAAGACACCCAGTAAAATTTGAATTTCAGATAAACACTGAATAATTTTTTAGTATAATGATGCTTCAAATACTGCATGGGATATACTTAACACAAAAAAAAATCATTGTTTATCTGAAATTCAGATTTAACTGGGCAACCTGCATTTTTAAATAAACTTTTAATTTTAGAATCATTTTAGATTTACAGAAAAAAATATAAAGATAGTACAGAGTTGCCACACACCCCGCACCCGGTTTCCCCTATAACTAATATCTTACGTCAAGTTGGTGCAGTGGCGCACGTTTGTAATCCTAGCTGCTCAGGAGGCTGAGGTGGGAGGATCACTTGAGCCCAGGAATTCGAGGCTGCAGTGAGCCATGATTGTGCCATTGCACTCCAGCCTGAGTGACAGAGTAAGACGCCATCTCTTAAAAAAAAAAAAAAAAAAAAAAAAAGGCTTATGCCAGTATGATACATTTGTCACAATTAATGAACTAAGATTTATATATTACCTTTAACTAAAGTCCATACTTCATTAGATTTCCTTAGTTTTCCCCCAATGCCCTTTTCTATTCCAGGATCCTGTCCAGGACACCATATCACATTTAGTTGTCAAGTCTCCTTAGTTCCTCTTGGCTGTGACAGTTTTTAAGACTTCTCTTGTTTTTGATGACCTTGACCGTTCTGAGGAGCACTGGTCTTGGATTTTGTAGAATGCCCCTCACTTCAGCCTGTCGGATGTTTTTCTCGTGATTAGGCTGGGGTATTGTTTTTTTGGGAGGAAGACCACAGAGGTCAAGAGCCATTCTCAGCACATCTCATTAAGGGTCTGTACTGTCCATATGACTTACCACTGTCGATGCAGACCTTGATCACCTGGCTAAGGTAGTGTTCATCAGGTTTAGCAACTGTATTTTCATTTGCTAAATCTGTAACTCGATTCCAGGCCTGTCAATCTTTCATGCTCAGACCTTTGCTTACTGCTGCAGCCATTTTTCTGCTCCAACCATAGTGAACTGCTAATAATTCCTCTAATGAACTACTCTCTGTCTCTCTTACTGCCAGGCCTTAGGGCTTGCTCTTTCCTTTGCCTGAAATGTTCCACTCCCCCACAACCTCCCATCCACACCTCCCCTTCACCCGGTTAACTTACTTTTCAGTTGGGCTTCAGTGTTCCGCTTAGGTCTCACTCCTTCCGGGAAGATTTCTTGCACCTTCCTCTGCTGAGACCAGATTAGGTGTTGCCTCTCTGCCCTGGTCCTACTCTGTTGTGATATTTACCACCCTGTGGTTGTGATCTGTTTGCTTGTCTCCCTGACCCCAGTGCATCCCTGACATCTTACGCAGTTTCTTGTTGCAACTCAATAAATAATTGCTGAATAAATGAATGGTTATACCAGGCACTTCAGGTAAGGCCTTTAATACACTACCTGCCTTGTAAACAGTGGATGCTCAGTAAATGCTTGTCTTTTTCAATGTAGGAAAAATAATCTTCCCTGGATCTGAGCAACTGTATTAAGTTTGTGCTTGTCCAACACCCGCAACACATGCCCCTACCTGGAGAAGAGAGTCTGGAACAATTGGTCTCCTAGGATTCCCTGAATGTCACAGTTACCTGCATCAAAGTATCAAGGAGGCCACTTAATGACAGAAATGTTAGGGTAAGTAGGCTACTTTTCGTCAATTTGCAGATTAAAAACGCATCTTTCTCCCAGTGGAGAAACTGAATTATGAACCCCTTCGCCAAGATTTCCGTACTTGGGCGCCCTGACCCATTGTTTTTTAGTGAAAGAGACAAAGGGACCCACCTCCTTCTCTTTTTGCTGACCACGTGCCACACACATGTAAAGGACATGTGTACCTATTGTTCCTTGTCCTTGATGATGAGTACACTTGTACATTGATGTATTTATTAGTGTTTTGCTTTTCACTAATCCGGCATAGTTGTGACCCCACCCCTGAGACCTAAAGGAAGGAGACACCTCACAGGGGGTCTCAGGAATCTCTGATGAACCTTAGGACTAATTATAATGTCTTTCATTTATTATTACTTTATGCCAGGTATTTTATCTACCTCACCTCGAATCATCTCAATGACCTTGCACGTTAAGAATTATTCATCCCATATTACAAATGAGAAAGCTAAGGTGTGGGTGCTTAAGAAATTTTCCCAAAGTTTTTTTGTGGTGGAGCCAGCTTGGAGCTAGGGCAGTAAACTTCAGAGTCTCAGCTCCATCCTTTCCATGGTTTAGAAAGTTCTATAAGAGACAACCAGCATCCCCCAAGGGCTTGTGCTCATTGGAATGGATCTCAGGTCCACTCCTTCCTTTGTATCCCCAGGTCACTTCACTAGAGCAGACCTCCGTCAGTCGGTGTTTACCCACCTTCCAGAGCCTCCTTCCTGGACTCTTGCCCTCGGATTCCCCACCCATAGAACTCTCACACTGCCATCGCCCAACTCAGGATCCCAAGAATGCCCATTTTCAGCCTTATAAATCCTTTACCTTGCTTTACCTTATAAATAAGGTAAATCCTTTACCTTTACCTTATAAATCCTTTACCTTACCAAGACCCTATAGTCTATTTATTTTCCAAACCTTCTCTCCAAGCATCAGATTCCTCATGAAACTTACACTGACTAGTCTGCCACCCACCTCCCTCTCCTTGGATCTTCATGGCACCTAGGTATGCAAGGCATAAAGTAATGTAGAATGCCCTTCTGGCTTATGTGGAACCACAGGGGAGTCCCCTGGGTTTCTAATATGGTATCCCCATCTGGAATGACACCTCCTGAAGGACAAAAACCTCTTGTTAAAAGAGTCAACTTTATTGAGGTATAACATACATACACCAAAATGCGCCTGTTTTTTTAAGTGTTCATTTTGATAAGGTTTGACAGATGTATACACCCATGTAACCACCATCACAACCAAGATATAGAACATTTCTATCACCCCAGAAATACCTCTGAGCCCCTTTGTAGTAAATTCCTCCACCCACCGACCCAGGCAGCCGCTTGCTGGATTTCTATTCATATAGATTAGTTTTGCCTGCCCTTGAACTCCACAAAAGTGCAGTCACAAAGGTTGTAGTCTTTTGTGTCAGTCTATTTTGGTTAGCATGATGTTTTAAAGATTCCTCCTTACTGTTTATTATTTTTTTGTTGCTGAGTGGTATTCTATGGTAGAGACTATACTACAACTTGATTGTCCATGTTGACTAAATTTGGGGCTGTTTCACATTTTTGGCTATTGTGAATAAAGTAGCTATGAATGTTTACACACAAGCCTTTTGTGAATGTGTTTTCATTTCTCTTATTTGCATACCTCCAAGTGAAACTTTTAGGTCATATAGTAAATATAATATGTTCAACTTTGACACTGCCAAACTGTTTTCCAAAGTGATGATTCCATTTCACACCCCTATCAGCAGTGTATGAAAGTTCCAGTTGTTTCACATCCTCACCAACTCTCAATGCTGTCAGTGTTTTAAATTTTAGTGGGTATGTAGTCACATCTCATTATGGTTTTACTTTGCATTTCCCTGATGATGTGCTCACTGGACACTCGTGTATTTTCTTTTCGAATTGTCTGCTGAAAAATTTATCTTTAAAATTTTCAATTTGTCTTTTTAATTATTGCATTATGAGTTCTTTTTATATTTGTATATAAGTCCTACCAGATATATGTTTGAGTATTTTCTTCTGGACTGTGGATTGTCTTTTCACTTTCTTAGTGTCTTTTCACTTGTCTTTTGAAGACAAGCAGTTTTAAATTTTGATGCAATTCAATTTATCAATTTCAATCAATTTTTTTCTTTATGGTTAGTATATTTTCTGTCCTGTCTATGAAATCTTTATCTGCCCCCTGTAATCCCAACACTTTGGGAGGCTGAGGCAAGCGAATCACGAGGTCAGGAGTTCGATACCAGTCTGACCAACATGGTGAAACCCTGTCTCTACTAAAAATACAAAAATTAGGTGGGCATGGTGGCATGCGCCTGTAATCCCAAGTACTCAGGAGGCTGAGTCAGGAGAATCACTTGAATCCGGGAGGCAGAGGTTGCACTGAGCCAAGATTGCACCATTGCACTCCAGCCTAGGTGACAGACTGAGACTCCATCTCAAAAAAAGAGAAATGTTTCCCTTTATCTCTGATGATATTCCTTGCCTTGAAGTCTATCTTGATATGAATATAGCTCTTCCAGCTATAGTGTGTGCATGGTGTATCATTTCCCTATGCTTTTACCTTTAAACTATGTTTGTATATACAATGTTAATTTCTTGAGTAATATAGCTGGGTCTTACTTTTTTGTCCAGTTTGACAATTTCTGCATTATAATTTCTTCATTTAGTCCACTTACCTGTAATGCAATTATTGAAATGGTTGGCTTTAAGTCTACTAACTTGCTATTTGTTTCATTTATTTTTTGTTCTTTTCCTGTCTTTTCTTGAATGATAATAATTGAATGTTTTTTGTATTCCATTTTATTTTACTATTTTTCATTTTATTATTAATACATTTTATTGTTTATATTACTATTATTTCATTTTATTTCTTCTTTTTCTGTGTGTGTTTATTCTAGGGATTGCAATATGTGTCTTTAACTACCAAAGTATATCTCCAAAAACTATGCTACTTTACATATTAGACCCTTAAAACAGTATACTTCCATTTCTCCTGCCATGCTGTGTGCTATTATTGTTACATATTTAATTTCTACATATGTTATAAATCCCACAATACATTGTTATTATCTTTGCTTTAGACAATGATCACTTAAAGGATTTTTTTTTTTTAATTTTTTGAGACGGAGTCTCGCTCTGCCGCCCAGGCTGGAGTGCAGTGGCCGGATCTCAGCTCACTGCAAGCTCCGCCTCCCGGGTTCAAGCCATTCTCCTGCCTCAGCCTCCAGAGTAGCTGGGACTACAGGCGCCCGCCACCTCACCCGGCTAGTTTTTTGTACTTTTTAGTAGAGACGGGGTTTCACCGTGTTAGCCAGGATGGTCTCGATCTCCTGACCTCGTGATCCACCCGTCTCGGCCTCCCGAAGTGCTGGGATTACAGGCTTGAGCCACCGCGCCCAGCCGGAAATTTTTAAATGAGACATAAAACGTCATTGTGGCCCTCCAGTTAGAGTAGGGGATTATGTGGGCTAGGTTAATCAATGGAGTTTTAGCTCAGTTCCAATTTACAGTGGGTCCAGTAGGTCCCTGGACCTATCCTGTAGGTATTTCCCCAGTTCTAGAATGCATAATTAGAATAGGCATAATTGGAATAGACATGGCTGGCAGAATTTCCACATTGGTCCCCCAACTTGTGGGAGTGAAGGATATTATGGTGGGAAAAGCCAAATGGAAGCCATTAGAGCTGCCTCTACCTAGGAAAATAGTAAATCAAAAACAATATCACATCCTTGGAGAGTTTACAGATATTAGTGCCACCATCAAGGACTTGAAAGATGCAGGGGTGGTGACTCTCATCACATCCCCATTCAAGTGTCCTATTTGGCCTGTGCAGAAGACAGATGGATCTTGGAGAATGACAGTGGATTATTGTAAGCTTAATAAAGTGGTGATTTCAATTGCAGCTGCTGTACCAGATGTAGCTTCCTTACTTAAGCAAATTAACACATATCCTGGTACCTGGTATGCAACTATTGATCTAGCATATGGCTTTTTCTCCATACCTGTCCATAAGGCCCACCAGAAGCAGTTTGCCCTCAGCTGACAAGGTTAGTAATACACCTTCACTGTCCTACCTCATGGGTATGTCAACTCTCCAGCTGTATGTCATAATCTAGCTCCCACGGATCTTGATTGCTTTTACCTTCCACAAGCTATCACATTGGTCCATTACATTGATGACATTAAGCTGACTGGACCTAGTGAATGAGAAGTAGCAACCACTGTGGACTTATTGGTAAAATATTTGCACATCAGAGGGTGGGAAATAAATCCAAATAAAATTCAGGTGTCTTCTACTTCAGTGAAGTTCTGGGGGTATAGTGATGTGGGGCTGTCGGGATATCCCTTCTAAGGTGAAGGATAAGTTGTATCTGGTCCCCCCTACAACCAGGAAATAGTCACAACACCTAGTGGGCCTATTTGGATTGTGGAGGCAACACATTCCTCATTTGGATGTGCTGCTCTGGTCCCTTGATGAGGTGACTGAAAAGCTACTAGTTTTAAGTGGGGCCCAGAACGGGGGAAGGCTCTGCAACAGATCCAGGCTGCTGCACAAGCTGCTCTGGTTCTTGGGCCACATGATCCAGCAGATTCCATGGTGCTTGAGGTGTCAGTGGCAGATAGGGATGCTGTCTGGAGCATTGGCAGGTCCCTATAGGTGAATCACAAAGGAGGCCTTGGGGGTTTCAATCACAAGGTCCTGCTTGCATCTGCAGATGACTACCTTTTTTTTTTTTTTTTTTTTGAATGGGAGTTTCTCTCTTGTTGCCCAGGCTGGAGTGCAGTGGCACAATGTCAGCTCACCGCTCACCACAACCTCCGTCTCTTGGGTTCAAACGATTCCCCTGCCTCAGCCTCCTGAGTAGCTGGGATTACAGGCATTTGCCACCATGCCCAGCTAATTTTGTATTTTTAGTAGAGATGGAGTTTCTCCATGTTGGTCAGGCTGGTCTTGAACTCCCGACCCCAGGTGATCTGCCTGCCTGGGCCTCGCAAAGTGCTGGGATTACAGGCATGAGCCACCGCGCTTGGCCTACTACTCTCTTTTTGAGACACAGAAAACCTAGTCGGTCTGCTACTGGGCCTTAATATAATAGAAACTGAATGCTTGATCATGGGCCACCAAGTTTCCTTATGACCTGAGCTGCCCATCATGGAGTAGGTGTTATCTGACCCATCTAGCCACAAAGTCAGGCATGCACAGCAGCATTCCATTATCGAATGGAAGTGGTATATACGTGATTGGACTGAGCAGGCCCTGAAAGCACAAGTAAGTTAGATGAAGAGCTAACCTAGCTCCTCTCTCTCTCTCTCTTCCAGAGTGGGATGCCTTTTCTTCTGCCCTTGGGCATCAGATTCCAGGTTCTTTAGCCTTTGGACTCTGGGACTTGCACCAGTGGCTCCTCTGGGGTTCTCAGACCCAGAGCTTCAGGCTGCAGACTGCACTGTTGGCTTTCCGAATTTTGAAGCTTTTAGACTTGGACTGAGCCACGCAACTAGGTTTTCTCATTCTCCAGCCTACAGACAGCATACCATGTGACTTTGCCTTTGTAATCATGTGAGTCAGTTCTCCCTAATAAATTCATATATATATATCCCATTGGTTCTGTCCCTCTGCAGAACCATGACTGATACAGCCATGTCCTCTTAGTCTTTCTTTGTTTATTCAGCCTTCTTCCCGCTATGTGTGTCAGACTGAATAGTTTTTACTGTCTTGTCTTCAAGTTCACTGATATTTTATTCTGCATTATCTAATCTGATCTTAGTCCTATCCAGTTAATATTTTTATTGCAGATGCTGTATTTTGAGCTCTAGAAGTTCTATTTGGATTTTTAAAAGTAGTTTCCATTTCTCTTCTCACTTGGTTCATGTTTTCGTTTAGCTCCTTGAAACTATTATAGCTGTTTTCGATTCCTTATCTGCCAATTCCGACATCTCTGTCATTTCTGATCTGCTTGCAAAGATTGATTTTTCTGTTAGAGCTTACATTTTCCTGATTATTTTCATGCAGAACATTGTGAATGTTGTTATTGATTTTCCCACCTCAGCCTCTAGAGTCACTGGGATTACAGACGTGGGCCACCACGCCCTGGACCACGTGTAAATTCTCATAGTTGTTCAGTTTACAGCTCACTGGGAATTGTTCTTTTTCTGATAATTGTTCTCTGTGTGATCTTTTGGAGCCCTATCCTACAAATATGCAGCTTAATGTTTAGACAAATACTCTAGGGCTCCCAACAAGGATGTCTGGAGCTCTTTCTCCTTGTAGCTGCTTCTTCTTTGGTACTGTGTCCCTCACATTCCAGCCACCTCAACCTCCCTTAACTTTGATCCTTGTCTCTTCATCTCAGGAAGGTTCCTACCTGATTGGGTTCCTCCTCTGTTCTGGGTTATAGGCAGAAATCCAGGGTCTCACCTCAATTGTTTATATTTTCACAAGCATGACAAGCCTGTGATGTGTGTTGACAGTATCTGAAAGCATTAATAGTTGTTTCATACATTTTGTTTAGCATCATAAACATTTGTAGTAGCAGAACCAGTTGATACCAGTGATTTCATCATGGTCAGAAGCAGAATTCTAGGAGTCACTTTACAAACTTCTCTATTTGTCCTTTTTTAAACTATGCACTGAGCACAAAACAGAATTAGAGAAATCTCATGGGTCTGCCCACCTCTGATGTTCTGCTGATATTCTAGGACAGAACATGACATTGGGACAGGATTTTTTTTTTTGAAGAATCAAAGCCCTAGAGAGACTGGACCTCTTCCTTTGGAAATAGACTGTCACACCTATAAGGTCTTCTCTGTCAGCTCCAAGGCCAAAGACTTAATCACTGTGTCTAGAAACCATCATAACCGGTGCACATAGGGCCAAGTGTATGGTGACTCCAGTCACTGCCATGTGGTTGTCTGTCCTCAGGAGTAACTGGTCTCTGAATTTATTCTAACTACAGGTCACGAATGGCTCAGCAATCCAACAGAAAGCCCAGGGTCATCTGGGCCAATATGCTAACAGGAGTGAAATACATTGGATATAGAAAGATAGGGGCAAAGGATGTGGGATATGATTACCAAACCCAGGAAGACTTCATAGCTCAAAAGTCGAACAGAGAGAAGGAAGGAGGGATGAGCATGTTGGTTCATTCATTACATAATTTGAATGCCTATAATGTACCAGGCACTGACAATTTGTGGTGTCTTCAGTGAAAGATAATGTTGGCACACATATATTTCTGTGTGATTAGAAAAGGAACCAAACAGGCCATGCCTGCCCTTGTGGTTTCCATGGCTGCATCCTTTTCTCTCTGCATCTTTGCAAGTTTCATTTTCCTCTCCTCACCCTGGTTTTACCTCCCTGTGGTCTGAATGATCTGAATGTCCGGGCTTCTGAGTTGCCCCCTAGAAACAGTGAGAGTATGTTCAGAGTTAGGGTAGGGAGAAGTTGGGTTGAATCAAAGAAGGAATCACAAGAGCTGGGTTATACTATTTTTATTTAACTGATAGAGAAAATTCATATGTTCTGGCCGGGCACTGTGGCTTACACCCGTAATCCCAGCACTTGGAAGTCTGAGGCAGGCAGATCACCTGAGGTCAGGAGTTGGAGACCAGCCTGGCAAACATGGAGAAACCCTGTCTCTACTAAAAATACAAAAGTAGCTGGGCATGGTGGCAAATACCTGTAATCCCAGCTACTCAGGAGGCTGAGGCAGGCAAATCACTTGAACCAGGGAGGCGGAGGTTGCAGTGAGCCGAGATCACACCATTGCCCTCCAGCCTGGGCAACGAGAGCAAAACTCCGTCTCTCAAAAAAAAAAAAAGGAAATTCATATGTTCTTAATATACTGGCTGGAGCCTTCTGGGAAGGACCTTTGAGGCCCAGTAACATTTTATGACATCACTGGAGAGGATTTTCCAGATGCAGGCAGAACTGGATGTGCTACAGTAGAAAGCCCATGGGCTTGGGAGCCACACAGAAATTCCTGTTTTCAAATCCCCACTCTGCCACTTATTATCTGTGTGATCTTGAACAAGTTATTTAATCTCCTCGGACCCCAGATTCCTCACCTGAAGCGGGGACGTTTTACTTCTTAGTGCCGTTAGGAAGGTCAAAAGAGGAATGTGAAAAGGGCCAAGTGCTGATGCAGGATATGTGCACTTTTATTGGCTCCTTCCTTGTACGGTTTTGTTCCCTTCACTCCTAAAACTACACAAGAAACAAGATTCTTGGTGGGGGCAGGGGGTAACAGTGGTACCTGTGCAGTCTCCACTTCCTCAGTACTTCTCAGGTGGGACAGGTGAGCCAGGGCAAGTGGCAAACCCAGGAAGCAACTTGGATTTGTCCACTGGCAGGCTTTTGGGGAAATTGAACCCAGGGATGCTTTGGTAACATCTTCCCCACTGTGTCTTCAGATCTCTGACATTAAAAAGCACTGTCTCTTCTACTCTCTCTTTTTTAAATTATTTATTTATTTATTTATTATTATACTTTAAGTTCTAGGGTACATGTGCACAACGTGCAGGTTTGTTACATATGTATACATGTGCCATGTTGGTGTGCTGCACCCATTAACTCGTCATTTACGTTATGCATATTTCCTAATGCTATCCCTCCCTCCTCCCCGCTCCCCACAATAGGCCCCGGTGTGTGATGTTCCCCTTCCTGTGTCGAAGTGATCTCATTATTCAATTCCCACCTATGAGTGAGGACATGCGGTGTTTGGTTTTCTGTTCTTGCGATAGTTTGCTCTTTTGACCTCTGAGGCAAGCAGATAGGTAATTACCACCTTTTGGCCAGATAAGGAGACTGACTCTGACGTCATTTGTCCATGGTGACCAGGTCTTTCGTTATAGAGCTGCCCCACACCTTGATCAGTGCTTGGTCAGCTGCCAGCCTGCTTCCAGGAAGCTGTGGGGTCCAGACACGAAGGGTCAGATGACTGTGGTCCTAGCAGAAGCCCCAAATGCTGATTTCCTCATTTTCATCTTGTTTTGAGGACCTGTGATTCAGATGTTTAGGAATCCCTTTGACTAGTTGACCATAGCTTTCACCCTCCTGTGATCCTGAATTCTGGCTGCTGTGTGGTGATCATGGATCCACTGGGGACACATGTGAGCCAATTCCTTGGCAAGAGCACAGCTCATAGAATGTCCAGCTGAGGGCTGAGAGTGCTGGCTATTTTCCACCAAGGGCCATCCCTTAGTGGGTGAGATTTGCTCCTTCTGAGATGTTAACTCCCTAGCACTTCCAGTTTGCCCCAGGCATGGGTCAGCCTGCTCCTGTCACCAGGGAATTCCTTAGGCAGTAAGACACAGGTGTTTGAAGTAGGAAGCTGTCGTCATGTGTGAGGATTGCTGATGATGGTCCAGGGTAGGTCACACATTTGCAGTAACCTCCAACCTGGTTATCAACTTAATATGTAGTGTGTCTCTTTTCCTTCATTCCTTTACTTATTATTTGATAAATATTTGTCGAACATCTGTTATATGCTAGCTGCTGTGCCTGAAGTACTAGTACTGGGGATCTAGCAGTCAACAGGACAAGCTAGTCCCAGTTCCCAAGGAACATAACATCATAATAGCTTATGTTCATTGAGGTATGGACAGAGTACTTACGACAAATGCTAGAGCATTTTTACCTACACCAAAAACACAGCCCAACAATCTTTTGTTTCCCCCTCAGCAATTTCAAGCCATCTTCACACATCTACGATCCTCTACTGCACCCAACAACCCTCTGAGCTCCGTTCCCACCTGTCTACCTTGCATTGCCACTTGGGTGTCTCCAGGCACCTTGGACGTGGCAAGTCCCCCAAGCCCACTCCTCTTCTCATGTTCCTTGACTCGGGAAATGGCATCACCATCTGCCAGCTGCCATGAAATGCAGGTTTCATCCTTGTTTTCTCCCACTCCTTTCCCATGCTCCCTGCATCCGAATGGCTACTGATGGTAACACCCTTACTGAGCACTTAGGCTATCACAGCACCCTGAGCACTTTGCCTCTATTATCTCATTTAATCCTCACAACCCCGAAAGGTACAGAATCTCACTGTCTACATTTTACCAATGAGGAAACTGAGACCAGGAGAGGGTAAGTAAGTCACAGTTACCCAGCCAGTGTAACCAGAGCCAGGATGGAATCAAGCAGCCCGTTTTTAGAGCCTGCTGTCTTAAGTCATTACCATAGTGCTTCTCAGTCCAGTGGGCGAGACAGGCATTAAACCAAGAATTCTACAAATAATTATTTAATTACCATGGTGACAAGTGCCATAAGGAGAAGGGAAAGAAGCTTTGTTTAAGACAGCAGAGAGCTCACTTAAGGAAGGGAAATGTTTCTGTGAAGATGTACCCTTTACGCCGAGCATTGTGGGGGACCTGCTCATTACATCAGCAAGAGGGGGACACGTTGAGGGATAGCAGCTGTCCATCACAGACCCAGAAGGATCAGGCCGTTGCCACCTCCTTCACACCCCACAAATGGCCAGCCACCTGTGTTCCTTAATGAACAGCGTGGTCTGGTCTTTTTAACTTAATTCTTTTCTGAAATGTAGACTGACAGGA